CACAAGTTTTACCAGAGTGAGATTTGTAAACCGGAACCAGGGAAGCAATTGTAATACAAAATGCCCCTCCCCCTCCCCCCCCCCCGTAGATTAACAGCGGAACACGAAAGCGCAGTGCTTTATCCACATAATTGAGCGTGCTGTAGACGAAGTTAGGGGTGTAATGTGAGCCCAAAACGGGAAAAATTAACAATCAAAAAAACTTGCTGGGGTTAATATGCTCTGTATTGCGTTTTAAACGAAGATGATGCGCTGGGAAGGGTTTATCCTGATTCCTGTGTGAAGCACGCGATAGTGTGCGCCAATTAATTTGTATTCACATAAATGCCTCTGAAGGAAACCGCGCTAAAAGTAGGAAAAACGTCCTGTAAATTTGAATTGTGTCCACACTTTAGCAGACCACTGCGGCACTTCGGAGCTCTGATGACAACCATAGGAAAACTGGTTTTACTGGTTTGGTCAACACATTTATTTCATGACGCACAAACAATACATGTTAGAATTCCACTCAAAGCTTCATGAAATATTCAGATATGTTGAAATCAACATAGCTCATCACTAAAGAGTAAGTCATCAGATGATCAACGCTCAAAATTGTCGGTGTATTGTCCATACAAATCAAGGTATCGCTTGTTGTAGTTGAAGAGCTGTGGTCGAGAGCCGCCATCGTAGAATGACGATAAGCGAGGGAAGTGACCTTGGACCTGAAAGTAAGGGGGAGCTTCGAAGCTGAAATCTTTGACATCGTCTTTAGAATCGATCCAGCGATCAGTGTCAGTTTCTACCCTTATCTCACTTGAATGTTATCCATTATACAGTTGTTGCATCAGTAACAACTGTAAGTGGAATAGCTTGTTGCGCCTGCGTTTTCTACCAGTGGTGGGCAGGTAGAAACCAAGCGGTAGAAAACGGTGCAGATAGGCTTTATCCGCACCTCCTGTCACCAACTAGAAATGGTCCAGCCAATTTATTTGCGGTCGCACTAGTTGATTCTATACTACGCTTCCACTAAATCTAAGAGATAGCTCTAAGAAAAGAGATAGTTCTAAGAAAAACAAAAAAAGTCAGTGCATTGACATAACTGCTACAGCCCTGTTCTGGTACAGGAACTCCATAAACACTAGGAACTGAGATTCTGCCGATTTTATTGGTACCGTGAAGTCACTACTGTTTCGAGCTGACAATCTCACGCTACTTATCGCCTACTAATCGAATCGGAAGACTCCTATATCTCGGTAGAGGGTATAGTGCGGAGTCTTCGCGTTGGTCAATCCATTTTTTGGGTACGGGCAAGTGACTCGGGCAGGAGACGATCCGAGTTTTGAACTTCGGGCCATGGTGAGCGCGCTGCTTGTCCTACACCACCTTCACCTCCCTTTCACGGCACGCCATCGTTGTGATGAATTCCTGCAAAATTGATTGCCTGATTGCATCCTCTGATACAACCCACCTCCCATCCCCTTCCTACCTACCACTTTCCTAGATCTCCCAACTTCCTACTTCTTTCCTACTAACTTTTCCCAGTTTTTCCTACATTTCCCCGAGAAATTCGAAAGATTTCTAGTTTTCCCCAAAATTTTGCTGTCGGGCGAAGGGGCGGGGCGGGAGGGAGGTTTTCCAGAAACTAGCTACTATTTTCAACTATATCGGATATAGCAGTATAGAACCTTGGCGGCGCCACCAACCAGGGAGGGTGGGACGGGGGAGGCGGGGAAGTTTTTTGTCCCAACGTCGCAAATTCCTCAAATAGAAATACGATCCCCCATCTTCTCCTCGTCAAATAAGGACCCCGTTTTGATTATCATACCGCTGGCGTTGCCCTGCTCTTTGCTTTTGAGTCGCTTTACTACTTTAGTTGCACATACGTAGAAAGCACAATAAAGAACGATAAAGAGTAACAGCTCCAACAAAGCACAAAATCATTTAGTATTAGCATCAGTAAAATTCGATATTCACAGTTTTCATGGTGGCCGTTTATGCTTTTACCAGCCAATAATTTTCCCATCTTGCCCACTATCTTACTCCTTGGAACCAAAGTCCTAGCGTCGCTGTGAAGCACGTTATCAAGTTGATGACCCTTCCCTTCTAAGGCTCCTTATGTTATCTTATCAGCTCTTATCACTTCCTGCCACCCATCACTGATGTTCCCATCCTGCCCCCTATCTTACTGCTTGGAACCAACGTCCCGACGTTGCTGGCCGGCGCTATGAATTTAGTGGCCCTTCCCTTCTAAGGCTCCTTATGTTATCTTATCAGCTCTTATCACTTCCTGCCACCTACCAATAGTGTTCCTGCCCGACCTCCTACATCACTTATCAGTTTGAGCGCACAGTCGCTGTTTTGAAGGAAGTTATGAATTTCCGGTCAAACACACATACAGACACACACACACACACACACACACACACACACACACACACACACACACACACACACACACACACACACACACACACACACACACACACACACACACACACCAACAGACAAACTTAGCGGATTATATATAGTAGGATTTTACACGCAACTTGGCCACAACTCAACGGAGCTGTGCTGTCAGTTTCCATGTCTTTTTATTTTGTCGTCATTGATGCATCACCTAGCACATCCATTTTCATTTAGAGGGACAGCAAATTGTCATGACCATTAATTTTAATTTCAAGCAGCTTACCTGCCTAACACGCATTGATGAGCGCCATGCTGGCACATTTCGAGAGAACTGAACTTGCTGAAATGCGCAGGGCTTTTAACATTTCTACTTCGAAACAGTCAACGTTTCTACACAACGAACCTTGATAACTTTGCCGTTCTCTTGTGCACAAGCTTGAATAATCACAAGTATCATACACAGGATGATGGTACGAGTCGAAGTCATACTGTAGATCTGTAACCGACATATCATAGACCCTCGTTCCTCTTGCCGTAAACAAGGAAGTTGAATGAACAACGGGCTATTCGAAAAGGTGAGCAGGATACGTTGTATGTATATCACACGAAGATATTCAAGACCTTATACATAGCATAACCAGCAGAGGAATTGCACCTTTGAATTATGAAGTTCCCGTGGAAAAATCTATTTGCCACCTTCTATGATCAAATGCATCTAATCCAAACCCCTGAGATGCGGTAGGCGTGGCGAAACAACAATGTCATCTCCTCAGGTACCTGAGGTAACCGGAGAAGCACCAGTGGAACTTGTCAGAAATAAGGCTAACAAACTGAACGAAAGCGAACGCTTCATAGACCGTTAAACTCGTCGTGGGCACGGCAATCCATTGATGCGATTTCCAAGCAATTTGGATCATTTCTGCGCAAGTTATGGCGAGACGGAAAACTCTCTCGCAAACCGTCGATTGACCATAAATTAGGACCAGGATATTATAGGTAGGTATCGAAGCACCCCATTGGAAATTGACGGATGCGCACTTGGTGGGACATTTTCATTTTGGGATATTCTAATCATATCTCTGCCCTACACAAGACAAGGTGCTAGTTGTTTCAAATTGTAATTTCCGTAGCTACCACATCCTACGTCATGTTCAAATGAAGCCTATAGATACGCCCGTCGCGTCTCAAGAGTGAGAACTTTACGTATGTGTGGAAGTCACTGCCTGCGCAGCAGACTGTGACGTCGTTCCAGCAAGTCATGCTGTGGATGGAGCGGAGGGTGACAGGAAGTGATAACAACACATAGAAATTGATAAAGAGCCTTTGAAGGGAGGTTCAAAATCATGGCATGGGCCATCATAGCAGCAAGGTGCTTGGGCACCAAAAAAATGGCATAAGAAGGTGGGGTGGAGACATTGGTCATTGACGATAGAAACTGATAGCGGCTGAGAAGGATTGATAGTGGGCGTCAGAAAGCAAGGGTCGCGGAATTCTGCAGCTCTGTTTGCCGTCGGGTGGGAGCTTTTTCACTAAGAAATGGAGAAAAATTTGCAATGGGAACCACAGTGATAAAAGAGATGTAGTGATAACTCTTGATAAGGAGCGGTAAGCAACTATCTTGCTGCATTCATCACGTATATTAGGTAATCTGGCAGTGAAGTGGGAGTGATACATCTCTTTCCCAATATCAATGACATGACAGTTAGGCGAATGGTTGGGGTCCAGTGATATAAGCTGACAATGGCCGGAAACGAATGAGCATAGAGGCTGACTCAGATCGATGTATTGGGTTAGCCTATGAGTAATGGCGCTTCTTCCCCACAATAAATTTTGTTTGAAAATGAGAATTTTCTCTGAAGTATTCTATTGAATTTCCCGCTTTACAAGAGGCTATGCCTGCTTTTCTATTATTTTTCGATTATTGCCAATTATCTTATCAAAAAGAGCGATGGGTCAGCACATGTGAGTTTTTGACCCAACCATTTTGCACTCAATCTAGGCTCTTAAAGGTAGCGCCCGCGTTCAATTTGATGAGACATGCGGCTCAGATAGTCATAACAAGGTAGCAAGTAACCCCTTAGTGAAGAAAAATCAGAAAGAAATCATAGGAAAGGCTCTATATAGAACCCTTGCTTAACTGAGGTTGTACGTGCTCAAGGCGAAGAGAAGGTGCGGTCGCACGAGTTCTCACTTGTTGATATCAGCTGTTTTCCCTTATCACCTCACTCTCACCACTCGACGTGGAGAGAAGCAGCAATGGAACAACCGCACCATCAGGCAACCATTAGAAATGAAGTTGGGCGTAGTGGTCGCCAGGTGGGCGGGGTGGCCGACTCTTCACGAGCGGGCGCCGCTATTCTCTCGCATTTTTGAGTTGCGAAACTAGTACGTCCACTATCCTCATAGGGTTAGCTACGATATCCCAAGAGAGCGTGGAAACAACAAATGAACGCGTGCGCTGCCTTTAAATTGCAGAAGCAGCTGCTCGACACTTGTGAGCTGGTTATAATGGAGCTCCTTAGGAAGACTTGAAGTTGGTTCGAAGGCAGTAGGCACGATGATTTGGTTCTCGGCCTAAAATGCTAGTAGGGCGCTATATAGTGGGGAAATGGCGAAAGAACGGAGTGAAACGGTCAAAATCCTGCGAAGAAAAAGCCTCCGTCTCAGTGACTTGAAAATCAATTTTGGACGAGTTTCCCGTAGGCATCTTGCCAATAACCGCTACCGAAGATACGGCTGCATATGTGTACTCATATATCCATGCAGCATCACGGCCGCTTCATACCAATCCCTTCGCTTCATAATTTGCTTAGCAAATGAATCAATACGAGCGTCAGGAACGGTCGTCCATTTGTGGGCGGGCGGGCGTGGTGGGCGTTCGGGTCGGTATGTTGGCTTGATAGGGCCCTTATAAGGGCACATTTTTGGGGAAGGCAGTACGCAGCGCCAGCTCAAAGTCGCGGAATTCCGTCATGCCAAGCAAATTAATCCCATTCGTCTTGGAGGGTTTATCGTACCAACTGCCTTAAAGGCAGTTGGCACGATGGTTTCCCACTCGGCCTAAAATGCTAGTAGGGCGCTATGTAGTGGGGAAATGGCGAAAGAACGGAGTGAAACGGTCAAAATCCTGCGAAGAAAAAGCCTCCGTTCTCAGTGACTTGAAAATCGATTTCGGACGAGTTTCCCGTACGCATCTTGCCAATCACCGCTACCGAAGATACGGCTGCATATGTGTACCCATATATGCATGCAGCATCACGGCCGCTTCATACCAATCCCTTTGCTTCATAATTTGCTCAGCAAATGAATGAATACGAGCGTCAGGAACGGTCGTCCGTTTGTGGGCGGGCGGGCAAGGAAGGCGTTTGGGACGGAATGTTGTTGCTCGATAGGGCGTTATAGGGGTACCCTCCTTGGAAAAGGCGCCACGGAGCGCCTGTCCGAGGTCACGGAATTCTGTTAAGCCAGTCGTATAAATCCTACATCTGTATAGCGATTTATCGTGCCAACTGCCTTTAAAGCGAAATAGATGGGAATTTGGATCCTGTGAATGTGTATCGCATGAGGCGCCTCTTTGGGGATCCAATGCCTGCAGAGTCTATCCACTAAGTTTCGAACGTCTCAACAAGTGAAGGGATACTTAATGAGGGTGAGAGAGCATTTCGTACAAATTCTCATTCTTTGGCATGGATCTCCTTGAATAAGCTGATTCGGTAGACGCCTAGTCAGACTCAATGGTGCATCAGGTGCGGTGTTTGGGAGAACGAAAGCGAAATCAACCAATGGGCCTTCGCGGTTTTAGCTTTCCAGCTGAAGGCATATGACACTACGGCCGCTAAAATGCTAGCAGGGAAAAAAAACAGGTGAAATGGTCAAAAACCATTGAAGGGAGCAATCGTTCTCAATGACTCAAAAAGCAATTTCGGACGAGTTTCCCGTAGGCATCTTGCCAATAACCGCTACGGTAGATACAGCTGCATGTATGTTCATATATCCACACAGCATCGCTGCCGCTTCATGTCAGTCCTTCGCTTCAGTTTTACGTCGCAAATGAAGCAATACAAGCATCAGGTACGATCGTCCTGTGGGCAGGCAGGCGCAGTGGGCGTTCGGGTCGGTATGTTGCAGCTTGATAGGGCCTTATGGGAGTACCTTCCTTGGAAAAGAGGCTACGCAGCTCCTGCTAAGGGGCGCGGAATTCCGCCTTGCCAGGCGTATTGATCCTACTCGTTTTAGGGACTCATCATGCCACCTGCCCTTGAAGGAAAACCGATACGGTGTTGAAGATGCATGTCTTTGTAGAAGATGCTAGGCAACTTGATACTTCACTTCCTAGGCGCTTCAAAACAGTGTGAACAGGACCTTCGAGGTAATCAAGCCAGCATCTTTATAGAGCAGAAATTCTCTATCAAACAGTATAGAAATCATCGGTGAATTTCCCAACTTTCCAAGTAAATTCCGAGTAACTGAAACGGTACTGTAGGAATGTGCTAACCCAATATTTCACAAGAACACACTTTATTCCATTTTATTTCGATACTGTTGGCGCTGACATCAAAAGCCTATTCTGCCACTAAGAATCTCTGGTTCCATTGAAGACGTATTTTATGGAGTTGTAGCACAAGCAACATGAAAAAATGGAAAACTGAAAGAGGCAGACGGTATTCACAAGGAAATAGCAGAATTCAAGGGCAAACAGACTGACGTTGGTTAGTTTCAGGGGGTTCCTTTCTGTGATGCACGGGACAAAGAGAACCGCTCAAGCTGCTATATAAGCATATATATACGGTAATTATTCATTGCTTGGACAGGCTTGAGATCTCCGCATAACGCGCAATTCAGTGAAGTAAATGAAATCCTCATGAGGTGATTCATTATGTTCCATTTTGGCACCCAGTAGCAATCGTCTTCATCGTCAACTGGACCGCCTCTTTAATTTCAACATTGAATTAGGCCAGTAAAAAGGCAAAACAAACTGAACATGTACATTTCTTGGATTTCCTCGGAAGGATGTTCCATAGTGGATACGATGCGGGACATAGGCTTATGTGCTCACAAATGAAAGAAAAGATGCTATGTGACTTGCCCACAAAGAATTGGGTTGGCCCATAAGTAATAGCGTTTTTTTCTCACTCGGAATAGGAATAGCGCGCCAAAGAGTAAGAGATTATCCATTGAGGCTCATACTGCATAGCAGAAAATTTATCGTCCAATACGATAATCCTCTTAGTTTTTTGGAAATTTCTGTTTCCATTAATTTCTGTTTCCACTGAAATTTAGGTGATGAAACTGGCATTTTCGACAGCCTCTTTTTTTACTTCTAATTAGGTAAACCGCACAGGCCTATGTGTTAAGTATAAGGTCATGTCTCGCAGAAATGCTTGTGAAGGTTCAGCGATTCAAAGTTTTTCGTTCAACTTAACGTACAAGCATCGAACCTGTTGCTCCCCTGAGTCCAACTGATAGCTTGCTGAATCACCTTATTTA